AGGCTGACAGGTATAGGGGAGTAGCTTTGTGTAAAGTTAGAGAACGACTGACAGGATGGTCTTGTAGAGCAATATTGTACATAGAACTGACCCAAATAGAGGTTGGAGATATACAGAGATGTTGGCAAGGCAGGAGATGCTGAGGTCAGGTTGGGGAGGGTGGCAGGAGATGATGTGGTCAGGTTGGGGACATGGCGGGAGATGATGTGGTCAGGTTGGGGACATGGCGGGAGATGCTGAGGTCAGGTTGGGGAGGGTGGCAGGAGATGTGGGTCAGGTTTGGGAGCATTGCAGGAGATGCTGTGGGTCAGGTTGGGGAGCATGGCGGGAGATGCTGAGGTCAGGTTGGGGAGGGTGGCAGGAGATGATGTGGTCAGGTTGGGGACATGGCGGGAGATGATGTGGTCAGGTTGGGGACATGGCGGGAGATGCTGAGGTCAGGTTGGGGAGGGTGGCAGGAGATGTGGGTCAGGTTTGGGAGCATTGCAGGAGATGCTGTGGGTCAGGTTGGGGAGCATGGCGGGAGATGCTGTGGGTCACGTTAGGGAGCATGGCAGAAATATGATGTGGTCAGGTTTGGGTGCATGGCGGGAGATGATATGGTCAGGTTGGGGAGCATGGTGGGAGATGCTGTGGGTCAAGTTGGGGAGCATGGTGGGAGATTTTGTGGGTCAGGTTTGGGTGCATGGCAGGAGATGTTGTGGTCAGGGCTGTATTTACCACAAGGCAAACAAGGGGGCACTTTCAGGGGGGAGGCAAAAACACCACCCCAAGCACTCAGGCAAATGCCTTGTTTGCCTTGTTTCCTGGTGGGCCCAAGAGCTGGCTGGCTGGCTACCCTAGCCCCCCTCCCTTGGTGTTAAACTACTAATATTCTATCCGTTGTCCTCCACTCTTCTTGCTCCCTTGGGGGGAGCAGGCTGGCAGGAGCTGGGGAGCAGGCTGATAGGTGGGGGGGAGCAGGTTGACAGGTGTTGGGGGAAGCAGGCTGACAGGAGTTGGGGGGGAGCAGGCTGACAGGAGTTGGGGGGGGGGAGCAGGCTGGCAGGAATAGTGGAGCAGGCTGGCAGCTAACAGGGGAGTAGCTTTGTGTAAAGTTAGAGAACGACTGACAGGATGGTCTTGTAGAGCAATATTGTATATAGATCTGACCCAAATAAAGGGTGGAGATATACAGAGATGTTGTAGAGATGGTCAGGTTGGGGAGGATTGCGGGAGATGATGTGGTCAGGTTGGGGAGCATGGCGGGAGATGATGTGGTCAGGTTGGGGAGCATGGCGGGAGATGATGTGGTCAGGTTGGGGAGCATTGCGTGAGATGATGTGGTCAGGTTGGGGAGCATTGCGGGAGATGATGTCGTCAGGTTGGGGAGCATGGCGGGAGATGATGTGGTCAGGTTGGGTAGCATGGCGGGAGATGATGTGGTCAGGTTGGGGAGGATAGCAGGAGATGTGGGTCAGGTTGTGGAGCATTGAGGGAGATGCTGTGTGTCAGGTTGGGGAGCATGGGGGGAGATGCTGTGGGTCCAGTTCGAGAGCATAGCAGGAGATGTTGTGGTCAGGTTGGGGAGCATGGTGGGAGATGCTGTGGGTCAGGTTGGGGAGTATGACGGGAGATGATGTGGTCAGGTTGGGGAGCATGGCGGGAGATGCTGTGGGTCACGTTAGGGAACATGGCAGAAAGATGATGTTGGTCAGGTTTGGGTGTATGGCGGGAGGCTGGGTGGATTTAAATTTAAAAAAATATTAATAATTTGTGATTGCAATGAGTGTATGAGAAAATGTGTGTGTGTGTCTGTGTCTGTCAGTGAGTGTGTTTGTGTCTGTCAGTAAGTGTGAGTGTATGTCTGTGAGTGAGTGCATGTAGTGGTCAGTGTGTGTCTAAGTGCGTGAGTGAATGTGTGTGTCTGTCAGTGTATGTGTATCTGAGAGTATGCGTCTGTCAGTGAGTGGGTGTGTCAGTGTGTGTCAAGATCCAGGTAAGTTGGCAAACTATTCTTAAATGGTATGATTACTTGCTTCACAAGGGTGTCTCAGTGAAAGTGTGTGTTGGTGAAACAGTGTGTGTGCGCCAATGACTGTGTGTGTCAGTGAGTGTATGTATCAATGAGGGGGGGTGTCTGTCAGTCAAAAAAGTGGCCCTGACATAAATTGGTGAGGCAAATTTAGTCGTGCTTAAGGCAGCACAATCCCAAAATACACCACTGGTTGTGGTTCAGGTTGGGGAGCATGGCGGGAGATGTGGGTCAGGTTAGGGAGAATGGCGGGAGATGATGTGGGTCAGATTGTGGAGTATGGCGGGAGATGATGTGGGTCAGGTTAGGGAGAATAGTGGGAGATGATGATGTGGTCAGGTTGGGGAGCATGGTGGGAGATGCTGTGGGTCATAATGGGGAGTATGATGGGAGAGGATGTGGTCAGGTTCGGGAGAATGCTGGGAGATGATGTGGTCAGGTTGGGTAGCAGACTGAGAGATGCGGGGCTTTCCTGTGGTGCAGGCAGGCAGGCGTTGCAGAGCTGGGTGCAGGCATGTTGGGCAGTGGTGGGGTTCAAGAGATGGGGTTCAATCAGGCTGGGAGGTCTTGGGGAGAAGACAGACTGGGTAGTGCTGAGTAGCAGGCAGGCTCACAGATGCTAGGAGCAGGCGGACAGCAGGAGGGAGGTGTATAAGATGTGAAGGTCACCTAGAGAGAGAGGAGGGAACGTCAATAGAAGAGCATCTGGTTGCATTGTGTTACTATGTTTTGTTAAGTAGGTCTGCATCTTATTAAGCTGTGTTTTCTGTACGCTGCTCTGCATTTCATTAAGTTGTGCTCCTTCTCTTGTGTTGCTCGACCCCCCCACCCCCCTCTGTACCACACTGTGTTATTTTTACACCGTTCAAAACAAATTCATAAATTTCCCATAAGGACTGCAAGTCCAGCCCAAAGAGCTTACAATCCATCAACGTACACAGTGGTAGCAGCAGATATATAACCATTGTGTCTTTGTCTGTGAGACGAGATGCTATTAGGAGATTGTGACATGGCCATCTGCGCCCCCTCCAAACAATTGCAGTGCTTACCCCTAGATTCCAGACTGCAGGTCCTTCACTTTAGTATGAATGAAAGCTCCTGACCTTGTGATTTAAAGGGGGATTGTCACTTTGCAGGATATGTGATATTATGTTTACTTATCCCTATATTTAACCAATATTTATTTGCAAAGTGTGGAAAATTTAAATTAAATGTGGGAATTTACACTGATTTATCCTGCAAATGGACGCCTCCATCTTAGCTCCCCGTCAATCATTGTTACAATGTCTGCTCCTTGCACCTGGCAGTCAGCATCGGGAAAGCATACAGAGAAGAGAAGAATTGCATTGTGTTATCCTTTGTAAAATCTTTCATCTAAATCTGAAATAAAATGGAACTTTACAGCGTCAGCTGAGCGCTCTCAGCCAATGAGCATGGTGATTATGCAGTCAGGCTTCGCTCAGTGGCAATAGCTTCCACCAGCAGTAGGGGAAGGTGGTGGCAGGGACCTGGCAAGATCCAGGTAAGTTGGCAAACTATTCTTAAATGGTATGATTACTTGCTTCACAAGGGTGCCATGGCACGCTTGGCACCATAACCACTACAGGGTAAAAACCTGCCTGGAAAAACATAAATGGGGCAGCTGTCTGTCAGAGTGTGCTTGTAAGTATGTCTGTCAGTAAATGTGTGTGTGTCATTATGGCTGTCTGTGTGTGTGTCATTATCTCCATGTGTTTGTGTGTGTGTGAGTGTGCGCATCTGTATCAGTATGTGTGTATGCGTCATTGAATGTGTCAGCATGTCTTTCAGTATTTCTGTGTGTGTTAGTATATGTCTGTCTATATAAATATGTCTGTCAGCGTATATCTGTGTGTGCCAGCACATCTATCACTATATGTGACTGTATCTGTGTGTGTATGTGTCAGTGTGTATATATGTATGTGTATCTGTGTACCTGCAAGTGTATGTGTGTATGTGTATCTGCATGTATCATGATGTGTATCTGTGTGTCTGTATGTTATGTTATCAGTATGTGTATCTGTGTGTGTGTTAGGGATCGACCGATTATCGGTTTTACCGATATTATCGGCCGATATTCGGTATTTTTGGCAATATTGGTATCGGCTAATATAGATACCGATATTGCCGACAATACATACCATGACCGCCGGGCTCATTACAAGCCCAGTTGTCCTGGGGGCTGCATCTTCCCAGCAGCCATTCAGCTCCACTGTGTAAATCTCGCGAGTCTCTCGGCCGCCAGAGCATTGCCACGGGTTATAATGGCAATTGAGATTTACACAGGGAGCTGAGAGCTGCTGCCGGCCCCCCACTACTCAGCCAATGCCATAGCCCCTTACCAGGCAAGATAACAAGCAGGGAGGGGGGACAAAAAATAATAATAATAAAACCTATAAATGTTAAATATTAAAAATAAAATTAAAATTAAAAAATGCCCCCCCCCCCTCCCGCCCATTGTGCACAAATTACATCCCTTCACAAGCATACACACTATACAAAACATCAACACTACATACCAATAAACTTCTGAGTTAAATTTCAAAATTATATATAAACACACCCCTGCATTCATGCTTGCATTCAAACGCAAACACCACGTACAAACACATCCCTACATTTACACCAACATACTCCATATAAAGACAATCATACATTCAAACACACAAACACTGCCCAGTGCTAAATACAAACCTGCAAACATGGGTAAATGGTAGATCACCAGCTGTCAGTGCATTGTTGGAGTTACACGACAGGTGGTGATCGATCTTTTATGTCACCCTTGCAATAGGGGGGCGCAAAAAAGAATCTTGCACCTCTTTACTTTAGTTTCACCACTGCATTTGGTCGGATGGCTTGATTGCATGCAAAGGAGGAGGGGGACACGGTCCAGGGGGCCTAAGCAAATGCTTTGCCCAGGGTTTATCAATAATAAAGACAGTCCTACAGCTTAGTCACACTACAATAAATGACCGGCAGAAGGGGAGCACTGTCCCTCCCCCAGGCCAGTGCACCCTAGGCAGCTGCCTACTTAGACTGGTCGACCGATGTGGTTTTGTTTGATATAAAAACGGTTTGCGGACTGCTTTTGCAATATTGCCAAATTATCCTGGCATTAACATGCATTACACAGCTAAAAGGCAATTTCTTTTCAGTAAAAATTCCGGGCTCACGCACACATACATTTCTGATAAACTGGTCACTTCAGAGAAAACTTGGACGCCCCTGCTCTATGTGTTGACAACACAACACCACCTAGTGGGGGTTATTTAGTATTACATCTACTTTTTATATCAGACCTGATGTATAGTTCAAACATGGAGGTCTGATTTTTCTTTCTAATATTACTTCCTTCATTATACTTGCCAGTGGAGGCTTGTCCATAGGGGCACTTGGGCAGCAACCTACCAGTTTTTATGTGGGGAAAAATAACATTTTAATAGTTTAGAAACACAAAGATTATTTTTTTTTCTGAAGGGTAGGGTGGTAAGCCGAAAAATATGGGAAGAATGGTATAGTATGCTAATGTAGTGTATTTATAATCTTAATTTTAGTAATGACAGGAGGCGAGTATTTTGCATTGACTTTCTTTACTTTAAACTCCAGCAGCAAACAGGTCAATCAAAACAACCAGTCATCACATCTATAAGTAAAGACAGCGCCCATTTTTTCCTCTTTCTTTGATGTGAGCGTAGCTAATCCATTCAACAGGAACAGAAAGCGTAGAACATGAACCGATAAGTAAGGAATAATTGACGACAGGCCGTTGAATTATTAGAAAAATAATGTACGCTCGAGGTGGTAATGCGGTCACGACGCAAAGCGGGGTCCCCTAGCTTGGGTGGAAAATTCAGATGGCACTTGAGATAACAACTTAGAGATTGCTCTCTCCATAGATGCTGATACAGTGGCGTTAATCATCGCTTGTAGCATTTGGCTGTGTTGTGGGGAATCCGACATGGTGATATGTAAATTGTCCTGTGGAGTAGAGGACATATGTGTTAGCCCACTTGCCTATTCAAGGCCTGGTGGGTAGACCCCTTGCTCAGTGCAATCGGGGGTAGCCTGGTATGTGGGTGGATATTCCTTTAAATCACCACCATGCAGGTATGAGGGCTCAAATATAACGCCGGTCGTGTGGGCGGCTGGTACATAAGGGAGCAGAACCCTTGTAAGTAGGGGGAAGTGGTGAAAACCTCCAATAGCCAGAGGAAAAATCCCAAAGTCCCCACTCAATTGGGGAGGTACCGTTAGAACGTGGGTTTGGTTGTATTGTGACCTCACATAGACAATCCTTGATGGTATCTGTACCGCTAGTAGGGGTGCACTTCCTAGTTCGTTGTGCAGGTCCCCTAAAAATAAGATATATCTATCTATCTATCTATCTATCAGGAGGCTCACCCCTGCGTATGCAGGCTGCACACCAGGCATATTATGTACATAAACAGTTATAGTTGTACAGGTAATTGTTCCACAGATAGATATCATAAAATATCCTGACACGTGACTCAAGTCATGTAAACATCATATATAAGTGGGAATATGATCACCTTGTCTGAAATCCTTGTCATGTAAATTCTGTTATCGCTGGCAAATGCAGTGTCTTGTAGTTGGTAAAAATCTGTTGAAGGCCGTCACCGGGTATCTGCAATGGAAAATCAAAATGGCCACTGTGTATCTCGTGATCTTGCGAGATCCGAGATGGCCGCCACACGTGAGGACCCGGCCGAAAGAACTCCGGTGGGCCCTGGAAAGGCCTGGTATAACCACCCTGCTAGCCCCAGTCTCAGTAGATGGAACACACATATATATTTGGGCTAAGCCTTCCCGTGCGCCGCAGCACGCCACAGTCGGGTCTTACAGGGAATAGAGTCAGCAGACTGAAGGTGAAGACTCACGGAGACCGTATATCTGAGGGCTAATCAGGATAGAAGCTGTGACTCTGCAGGAGCAGCAAAGAAAGAGGAAAAGTTGGGGGCTGTCCTTACTTATATATGTGATGACTGGTTGTTTTAAATGGTTAAACTTTTTTTGATTGACCTGTTTGCTGCTGGAGTTTAAAGTAAAAAAAGTCAATGTAAAATATGAAGCCTCCTGTCATGTGGTAAAATTAGTGTCTCTTTACTTCTGTAATAGGTTTTAATTCTTCAGGGTCGTCATCCTCCCACCCCCGCATTGGTAGCTGTTTGGAGAAGTTTTCTTTAGAGCATCTAATCATGTCTAAAAATTGGGTCTGGATTGAAATCTGCCCTGTTTCAGCTAGTTTTGCACATGCCTAGTGTCCTAAAGAAGGAATTTCCATTGAGTTACCATTCGGGTAGCAGAGTAGCTGACATGTTTCATAACAGCAGAAATATTTAATAGAAAGCTAAAGTTATAGCAGGAGCTATACTGGTGAAAATAACATCATTTAAGATAGGTCTAGGAAGTTAGAGTGTGAGCTGGAGTGTTATATAGAGACACGTACTGTGTGGGTATCTCTTTATTGCAGCTCTGTGTAATCCATCACAGTGATCCTGGCTGTGTGGGTTAGTTATGGTATCTCCTTATTGTGTCCAACTTATTGTGTTATATTTCTCTGTATTTCACTCAGCTTTACCTGTTGTATGGGTATCTCTTTAGCCTATCCAGCTCTGTGTATTGTATATGTATATTTGTATTGTGACAATCTTTTGTTTATTATATTTCAATTTCTTTCAGCTCTCTATATTTTTTTTTTTTTTCAGATATCTTTATGTTTGTGCCATTCTGTTTTATTATATGAGCATCTCTGTATTATGCTCCACTCTCTTGCTCACGGTGCCTAAAGAGATATCAGCTATGCCTCACTGACGATGCCTAACAAGGTTGAAACGATCGTCTGAGGTTGCTGTGTCTCTCGTGCAGAGGGAACTTTGGATCTGGACTGCCCATACGGGTGGGACCAGTCTGAAATGTTCTCTCTGTAATGGCTAAAACCAGCTTGACATCTGAGCGGGCACCCACCGAAGGGCAGGCTGATTGAGCTGTTGTCCGTTCTCACCTCTCTTTCTACTTGTTTTTTCTCCACTCTCTGTATTTGAGTATCGGTGTACTGTATAGGGGGAGGTGTCACCATCTTAAAACTGCACCAGTTCCACTGGTTCCTACAATGTTCTTTAAAGGTGCAGTATGGAGAGGTATCGGTGCGTTTGTAAAATGCTGGAGGGAGGGGAAGTTTAAGAGGCAGAATATTGGACTAAAACTAAGATTAGGAGACAACAGGAGCTACTTGTTCTTCTATATTTCTAATTAAAATATGCTATTACTGTTGACAGTCAGCATGAATACTTGAAAAGATTGATGATTCGTAAGCTGAACTTTAAATGATGCTTTTATTTTTTTCTTCTTTATTTCTAAATAAAATATATGCCAATGCATTTCATACTAAAAAAAAAAGTTCTTATCTTCTGCTCTGTTAATTTAACTTTTATAACACACAAGATGCTGCTGCAGGCTCTAGTAGGCAATTAACAGAGTAGGAGGCAAGACATTCCAAATTAAACAAACTGTAAGGGGAGTTAAACAATTTGAGCTCTTTTCAGGATTGAAAGGTTTAGGGAGGGTGCGCCCATCACAGCCAAGGGAGGTATGGTTAGGGCTGCATAAACAAAAGTGATTAAATAAGCACTATAGGGTCAGGAACACAAACATGTATTCCTGATCCTGACCTTATTGTGTTAAAACCACCATCAAGCCCCCTTGGTCCCCTCTTGGCTCACTAAATATAGTAAAACCTTTCTTGTATTCAAGTCTACAGCTGCTGGCTCTGCCCCTGTCTGCCGATATCATCAGAAGTGGTGTTCTGAGCCAATCACAATTTTTTGCAATAGGATTGGCTGAGCTTGTAAAGGAAGCAGATCAGGGGCAGAGCCAGCACAAGCCAAACACAGCCCTGGCCAATCAGCATCTCCTCATATAGATGAATTGAATCAATGATCTCTATGAGGAAAGTTCAGTGTCTGCATGCAGAGGGAGGAGACACTGAATGGCAGTGCTGCATACTAGGCAGCACTGCTCCAGGAAGCACGTCTAGCAGCCATCTGAGGAGTGGCCAGTGGAGTTATCACTAGGCTGTAATGCAAGCATGTCAAACTCGCATGGGTCTAGTCTAGCATGGGCCACGTAAACAAGGTTTATGTGGGCTGCAAAAAATAATAATTTTTCATAGAAATCTAGGTTTATTTTGTACAATATAAAAAGTACAATATAAAAAAAAAAGAGCATCCCACTCTACTAAACCACAGCAACCCCCCCCCGCCCCACTAAATCCCAGTCGTCCCCCATATACTAAATCCCAGTACCTCCCTCTAGCCGACAAGCAGACTCCATTCACATTGCCACTACTAGTATGCGTCTCCGGAGTCCGGCCTCTGGTATACCCCAAATGGCGCCATCCGCACCCTGTGCCAAACCTGATCCTCCCGCTACTTTTTGAAACCCTGTGAAGTTGGAGCTCGTTGATGTCATGTCGGAATGTGACGTGGCGTTGCGTGCCTTCATGCACCTCCAGGTACTCCACTGTCGGGTCGCAGCCAATGCAACACGGACCAACACAAACACACACACTGACAGACACACACACACACTGACAGACACACACTCTCAGACAGACACTCACTGACACATACTCACTGACAGACACACAGTCACTCACTGACAGACACATACACACACACACATTTACACATTCTTGCATTCACATCATATTTATTGCTCCCTACCTTTGGGAGCCTACCTTTCTATCTGTAGATGTCCTTCCTGCTGCTCACTGCTCCCTCGCGCGCAGTTTAGTGATGCTGGGTGCCGGAATATGATGTCAGGAAGACTGAGCACCCTCGCTGCATCCACTTTCCTCTCCTCCCCGGCCGGGTAACTTTTACCAGAGTAGGCACCTGCAATTTGGAGAAAGCAGGTGCCTACTCTCCTTTAACACCAAGCATGCACTCGCCGCTCGCTGGGCCGAAAGATGTCCATTGTGGGCAGCGAGTTTGACGTGCTTGCTGTAATGTAAACACTGCATTTTCTGTGAAAATACAGTGGTTGCAGCAAAAAGCCTGAAGGGAATGCTTCTACTCAACAGAACAAATTCAATAAGCTGTAATTGTTCTGGTGACTATAGTGTCCCTTTAACCCCTTAAGGACACATGACATGTGTGACATGTCATGATACCCTATTATTCCAGAAGTTTGGTCCTTAAGGGGTTAAACTTCTAAATAGAAAAAAAGTTATCACACTTCATGATCTATTATCATCATGACCTTTGCGCCAAAGTACGTCATTAGGACCAGCCCTGGATGTAGAATAAAATATGAGGGGTATTACCCTTTGGCTTTTTACAAATCAGTATTTAGCTTCTGCCTAAATCTTTAATCGACTTTGGGCCTGATACCATAAAACGATCCTATTACAGTTGATATGCATTCACACTGTACCCTCCTGAATGTCTGTGATAATAGTGTCTGATTGGTAGTGCTGTCAAATCCATTATGTTTGGAGACTGGTTGCTTGGCCGAAAATGGGCAATTCCATCTTAAAGGGGCACTATAGTCACCAGAACCAATACAGCTTAATGTAGTGGTTCTAGTGTCTATAGCCTGTCCCTGCAGGCTCAGCACTGTAAACGCTGCCTATTCAGAGAAATGGCAGTGTTTACATTGCTGCCTAGTAACACCTCTAGTGGCAGTCACTCAGATGGCCACTAGATGTGCTTCCTATCTCAGTTCTGCACAGTGTGCAGCACGTACGTTCAGCATTGCTGAACGTTCCACATAGAGATGCATTGATTCAATGTGCAATAGCCTTCCAATGCTTTTATATGGAAAAGCATTGGATTGGCTTTGATCATTAAGATTGATGATCTCAGCCATGGAGGTGGGGACAGCTGCGGAAAACTGGTGCGGTGAGGGAAAAAAAGGTAAGTTAAATACCTTACTTTTCCATTCTAAAGGGGAATGGCAAATGTATTCCTAACACTATAGTGTTCCTTTAATACCTGGTATAACACATAGTGATTGCAGACTCATGTGGTTATAAAACAGCAATGTGCGTTTCTCTCTTTCTCACCATGTCAGCTGATTCTCTTTGTCTCTTGCAGAGTTGACGATAGTGGTTCCAGGCATACATGGCGTCTGGCTGCAGTGAATTGGAAGCTGCCATTGAAGTTCTTGTGCGCAATTTCTATGTATACGCAGCGCGCAAGGGGAAGTACGACAAGATGAATAAAAAGGAATTTCGCAAGATGGTCACGCAAGAGCTTCAGCACGTCCTTACGGTGAGAGTCTAACTACCCTTTTTATTATTAGAATGGTTGCCACCATTTAGTTCTTTATATTTGTTGTGCTGGATATAACAAAGACGCCTGCAATGCCATAACATCAGAAGCAGACACATGACAGACATAAGAAAACAGAAATTTGCCATTTGACAATAAGCACATTTTTGTGAAATTAAAAAAAGTGAGGGGATACATGGCATAATAAGAGTAAATAAAATGATATAGTAAATAAATGATATAGTAAATACAAATAAATAAAAGGTGTTGGTCGCTTAATTTCTATCAAGAATACGATTAGCGATAGTTTACATGACGCTTATATAATAACTAATAGAGCGAAACGCTGACAGTAAATCAGAATATTAGAATTCTCATGGGCTTAATAACTCATCAGTTGAGATCGCACATTGGCAGCACTAAATAAAGATAAAACAAATAAAAAGAAAAAACTTCAGAACATAAAATAAACTGTGTTCAGAAGCAGAGTTACAAGATTCTATAGATTCTATAGTCGCAGCTTCCAGGCCTTGTTGCGGCAATGTGCTCTCCTTTTGGAGCGTGTGTGGCGCTCCAAGTCTTCCCAGGGTCTGTTTTGCGTTGATGAGTAGTTTATCGTTTCCGCTATAGATTTTGGATAGGGTGTGGGATCTGTGCAGGGGACGAAGGACCCAACGTGCCCGCAGCCTGAAGAGTCAGTCTCACCCATCCAGCACCATCTTGTTGCACAGTTGAGGTCGATGGGGACCTCCTAATCCCCCGGAGCCTCTGACTCTGTATGCTAGGCTGGAGCGGGAAAGGATGTAGAGACATAGCAGAAGCAGGTTTAGTATCCAGTTTCAGCAAGAAGGATCGGCGTAAACAGACACATGCCTGCAGTATATCCCGCTCGGCATCAGCATGTGTGTCAGCCATGTTGGGACTGTCTAGTAGGTGCTGTGGTACGTTAGTACCTTCAGGAATTTGCCCCACGAGAGGCTGGATCGGTCAGTGCAGACCAGGATTAACCCACCGGTCCAAAGGTCGAACGGAGCCCAGACGGTAGCAAGGACATCTCAGAACAAGGGACCGTCCGCTTCCTCCGGCTCAAGCCGCCCAGCAGGCCGCAGAGGAGTTCGCCACTGGTTTCACTCAAGAAATGGACAAATAATAAGTCTTGAATAAGGCAGATTGATTAGTAGTTGAGACAGATCTATTTCTTTTAGTATAATCTCCAACAAGTTGACTTTTAGGGCTAAATTCCATAGATCGTTTGAGGAGCTCCGCCACTATGCAAATTTGTCCCTCGGCAACAATATTTTATATTGTTATAGCTATCTTATGATTAAAATATTTCATATTCATATGCAACAATTTGCCTTGTAATTTTATCGAGTGTGGGCAAGATAAGATTGCATCACAGGAGGTGGTGATCAGAGAGAGGGAGAGGTGTGTTAGTGAGGTCAGCAAAAGAACAGAGGTTAGAGTAAATAGGATCTAAAGTGTTGCCAGTTTGATGGAATTGGACCACTGCATGAGTCCCAAGAAGGCGATCATAGAGAAGACGTTAGAGGTTTCAGATGCAGTCGGTGCATTTGTAAAGATGTTAGAATCTCTAAGGATAATGAAGGAAATGCCAGAGGACAGGAAGTGAGAGAGCCAGGCTGAGAAGTGTTCCAGGATCTCAAAAGAGAGAAAGAGAGTAAAGGTGCAGCAAGGTGTGAGGAGACCTACACCACCACTTGCAGTCACTAGGTCTGGGAGTATGCGAGAGTTGGAGGCTGCCATAAGACAGGGAATTAGAGGTAGCACAGTCACAGGGGTTCTGCCAAGTTTTAGTGATGGGCAGAAGATTGGGAGTTGCAGATAAAGAAGTCATGAATGAAAGCTGATTTGGCAATGCTACAGTCAGATCGAGCATTCCAGAAGGCGCAGCAAAAAGAGGGAGCCAGTGGGAATATGTGCAATGTTAGAAGGGTTTGTATGGGGAAGAGAAGGGAGCAGGGCCAGGGTTTGGGTAGATGTCAGCTGCCAGGAGCAAGGCAAAAGAAAGTGATAGAAGGTGGGAGTGAGATTTGAAATTGCTGGAGGGTGATTGAGGTCTAAAAGAGTGGGTGTTTAGGAGGGGTGAATGTAGAAAAAAAGGAGAAAGGTGTAGAACAGGGGTAGTCAACCTGGTCCCTACCGCCCACTAGTGGGTGGTTTGAGATTTTAGGTGGGCAGTGGTGGGTTCTGCAGAAAACACCCAGTGGGCCTCGATGGCCTTGGACCAAGGCTGGCAGGAGCAAAGATCTCCCTCACCGGCCCACTGGCACGGAGTTCTAGCAGAGGGAGAGAAGTGCATGGGAGACTCTGTGATCCTCCCGCAAGCAGACTGGTCAGAGCGTTGCGATAGCATGGCAACGCTCCGATACAGTGCTGTGCTCACAGGAGGACAGGAGTGTCAACCTGCAGCAGGAGGAGCTGCAGGCTAAAGTAAACATGCCACCACTGGACCACCACCGCTTGCAGCATTGACCCCCCTTCCTTGGTGAAAGGAGTACCCTCACACACACAAACACAGCACCACTCACACAGTACACCTTTCACACACAGCAACCTTCACACAAACACAGCACCTCACAGACACACACAGAAAATAGAAAAAAAGGGAAAAAATTAGATCAATATAAGTATATATATATATATTTATTTTTTTTTAAACCCTCCTTTCTAAAAAAATAAATCACACTTGCTCTATAAAATTAGTTACTGCGGCACTGGCGAGCGGTAAGTAAATTTTACCATCAACAGAGATACAAAGGTGGGCGGTAGGTATTAAAAGGTTGACTACCCCTGGTGTAGAGTATGGGATGCACAAGGGAAATGCAATGACAAAAGGGTTTTATAAAACAGGGTGGCAGAGAAATAAAAGAATAGAGTGGAGAACATTTTAGAAGAGAGGTGGAGGAGTAAATGGAAATCTGATGAATAGACTGTACTTAGAGAACCGGGAAACAGGAAGTGGGTGAGTAGAAAGAAAAAGGTGGCTGTAGAATAGATAATACAGAATCTATACTTCCATGTCATAAATGTCAGTTTTGTCCAACCTGGATGACACTGATTGGCCTAAATCGCTGAGCTAACCCACCAGCATGCTTACAGTGCACTCACAAAGTTATTGCCAAAACTATATCAGATTGGCTTAAACCCTTTGAAAAGTTATAAAGATCAGGTTATGACGACCGTAAAGTGTCACATTTAGTCTTTAAGGGACTAAAGACCCCCTTTATATTGTGTATAATGTAATTACATAAATGAGTCTTTATACTTAAGTCTACTAAGGTAAAAATTGTATTGCTTTCATCGCTACTGTATTAATCCCATGATCTACCGTCATCTTTAAAAGCTTCAAATACTAATTCCTACCCAGAATTCTCAGCTGCATATTTGTCATTGCACAATGAATACATCTTTGGGTAAAGAGGTTTGTGACATCTCTGGAATGTGAAGGTGTGCACAAATTGTTCTGCTGGCCTTAGTAGTCCGCATTCATCATCCAGTTAGACACCTGTGGGAGGTGGATGACAGTAAATGTTAAGGTAGGTCAGTCATAGCATAGGCCAAGGTATATTTCTTTTAAAGAGACAATACAGTCTAATAGCAAATTATCTTCAACACATCTTACTTAAAATATACACCACCATTCCTCTTTTTCAACACATCGACAAATACACAGACTGACACTTAAAGGTGCAATTCACTGCCCAAATACAAATTGTAAAAAAAATAAATTAAATAAAAAAATACAGTTCTAGTTTTTCCTCTTTTCTGATACATTGTCACACATCATGCTAAATTCTTGGTTCTTTTACTGTGTTAAACAAACAAAAAACAAAAAAAACACAAAATGCATAAAACACTATTTTGTAGATATATATATACGCAATGAAAACACGCATGCCTTTAATTATGCATTGTTATGCATTGTTTTAATTGTGGGTATATTCTAGATCTCTTGTGTGCATCCTTTGCAAGCCATTTCCTTCTTCAGCAGCCTAGACTTTCTGTGGCTGTCCAATCACAGACATTTCTTTAATGAGCAGTCTTTGCAAGACACATACTCTGGGCAATTTCTACCTCTTGAGTTTAGTTCCACTGAGCTAAACTACTAGGAAGTAACATGACCAGTTTTTTGATTGACAGCCATGGGGTGTAACAAGATTAAAGGGACACTCCACTGACCAAATAAAAAAATAGAAAAGTCAATGTTTAGTAGACTTGAGTCTAAAAACAGCTTGTAAAAAGCTGCAGATCTCTTGGCTGAAGACTTTGCAATCCCTCCCCTTCTAACCCAGTTTAGTTTGCTTGTCATACGCTGTATATAGAAGCAAGCCTTCAAGGAGTAAAGTTGTTTAGCTTCCATAGCATTCATTGTATATAGTAGCGTGCCTGCAAGGGATAAAATTGCTAAGCTTCCATGTTTTACACTGTATATCATATCATGCCTGTAAGGGTGCAAGTTGTTTAGCATTCATATTATACACTGTATACAAGAACATAGCATTACCAGTAGAGGAAAACTTGTTTTATCTACCATGTCATTCACTGTATATTGTATTATTCTTCCATATCCTACATTTTATATCCGGAATAAGGAGGATGTAAATCCCCAATTGTTGCTGAACTACAAGTCCCATACTTCCCCAACCTTATCTGTCATAAATTAAACATAGAATAATGCAGTCAAAATTTATGTACACAAGAAAATAATTAAAAAATAATGGCTTTTTTCCTTTTAAAAAGCATAACACGTGTATAATAAACCAAACTAAGTGCTTAATGGCAACTCCCTTACACCCTGAACTAAGTGTCTGATATTCCTTCCCTCGTACAGAACACCCAGAACAAGGAAGCTGCCAACAAGCTCATCCAGTCGCTGGACGCAGACGAGGACGGGAAGATCAGTTTTGATGAGTACTGGACTCTGATTGGAGAGATTGCCAAGAAGCTGAGCACACAGATGGCATTGCAGTGTCAAGAATGACACTAAAGAACGAGGAACGATCCATCCCTCCATCTAACTGTGGTGGAAGCCTCCCATAGGTCATGGAAACACCACTTTTATTTTCTGGTGTTCAGTCCCATGGTGGGGCTCCAGTATTTCATTTTCATTTCAGCTTTGATTAGGTTACATTTTTTACTTTCATTGTTTACCCAAACTTTGTTTTGGAAGCTATATATGTTACTAGAGCCAAGGAACAAGTCCTCATATCCGTGACCTGGTTATGCTGGATGATCAGGTTACCTGTCGAACCCCTAACAAGGCTTCCTGTTTTATTATCACCATTATACTTTTTATGTGTAAGGTGTTGAATTGTGTTTTTATTTAGCACTCGTGAACCAATGGGTAAAAGCACATTACAGCCGATATATAATAGCATACGGGTGGAATATATACGCACTGATGATCAACTCTTGTAATTTGCAATCTTAATAAATTGTACACAAGTTATAATATGGTTAAAGAGTTAATGTAGACCTTCAACCTTCCCAAATCCTTACCTGGTTGGAGCTCCCTTCTTGGCTTATATTGTGCAATTTTCCATCTCCAACAACATTTATTTCACCACCTCCATGAACGCCGATGTGGCTGTTAGCTTCACAAAGTAGGGGGGAGAATGTGATCATGGCACAGGTGTCTGAAAAACCATACAGGGTATCAGATGAGTTCTGTAGAGATAAGAGACAGTATGTAACCCATGAGGCAATTGTTCAACTTCTGAAGCAAAAGAAATCCTATAATTTGTGCTATTTGTTTCACCAATTCTCTTTCAGTGCACTCATATATATTATATATTGTTTTTAAAAGGATGGACATGTCTTTTTTTTTTTTTATTAAATTTTTTATTGTTAATGTTAAATACAGCATAGATGTCAAGCACAATCTCAGCCACAGGAAATAATTGATACAGTATTAAGAGTGTACATTTAACAATAAAGCATTGGTAAAGCAAAACTAACATTGGCCAGGTGTGATATATCTATGGAGATTTTTCAGACAGTATAGGTGTAGCAAGGGTTGGCAGGATCTCCAAAAAGAAAAAAACAAAGCATGTTACCCTCATTAGCGAAAACATCTGACTCCAACCTTTGGTCACCTGGCCAATTATAATAAAAAAAAAAAATCAATAATAAGGAGAAGGATATCTCCATTGCTTTTGAACAGTACATTTAAAGTGCCAGCCACTATGAGAAGAAGGAATACCTTTGAAAATATGCCCAGGTCTAGTGCCATCCAAAGGGTGAGTTACAATTCTTTGTGCTGGAAATTGGGTTGGGCACTTAACCCCTTAAGGACACATGACATGTGTGACATGTCACGATTCCGTTTTATTCCAGAAGTTTGGTCCTTAAGGGGTTAAAGGGACACTATAATCACCAGAACAACTACAGCTTAATGTAGTTGTTCTGGTGAGTAGAATCATTGCCTTCAGGCATTTTCATGTAAACACTGTCTTTTCATAGAAAAGGCAGTGTTTACATTGCCCATAGGGACACCTCCAAGTGGCCACTCCTCAAATGGCCACTGGAGGGGCTTCCTGGCTGCACAGTAAGCAGCCCTACCATTCAGCGTCCCCACGCTCTGCATGGAGACACTGAAATTTTCTCCTAGAGATGCATTGATTCAATGCATCTCTATGAGGAGGTCCTCATTGGCCAAAATGGCATTTGGCCCTGCCCCTGTGCCAATTTTAGCCAATCCAATGCTTTCCCTATGGGGGGGGGAAGCCACCTTAATGATGGGTTAAGCACTATAGGGTCAGGAATACATGTTTTTGTTCCTGACCCTATAGTGGTCCTTTAATATTGAGATGCGGGCCATAGATTTACCCAGCTTAGCTCCATTACAAAATCAATGTAGGTTTAACCTGAAACTTTTTCGAAGCCGATAACTATATACAAGCACCGGTCCATTGAACCTCCCAGCCCACCGCTCCTAAAGAACACTAAATAAAGTTGTGGTAGAGAGTCATTAGAGTACTTAAAGGATCCCGCCCCGCCACCATCTCAGCTGAGAACCAAGCCATGTACTCCAGCGTTGTTCTTATTTTAGATTAAAAGGAGGTATCCAGGGTCGGAATATACGACTACCAGGTGATGAATAATTTTTTTGACCAAGATTTTCTTGTTGATTAAGGTATAAAGTCAATCCATGTTAAAAAGGAACTTGAGTTTGTTTTAGGATAAATTGAATGGTGGAGTACCCAGCTAGTTCCAGACCTGAAGAATGGTCTTGCGGCCCACCGCTGCTATGATCATGGAGAAACGTCTATTAGGTACGGGGTTGCCAGGCATGGGTCCCAACAATAGGAAACTAGGATTTAATGTCAAGGGCGATATATTGTTGTTCATTAAGTATTGCGCAACCTCCCTCCAGAAGCCCTGTATTAGGGGGCACTCCCACAGGCAGTGATACAGGTCACTGTTGATGTGGGTGCGTTTGAAACAGGTAGATGAGTCATTCCTTGCCATCAGATGAGGTCTATGCAGGGTAAAATATGAAGAGTGTGTGGTTTTTTTAAACCTGTGTCGATAAGCGACCATAGGGAGCAGTTGACTCTGAGTGTAGTGTGTGTTTAAGATGTCCTCAGGTGTAATGTCAGGAAAGTGAATCTTCCATTTCACAAGAGAAATTTCTTTCTTTTTTTTTTTTAAATATACTATTCATTATTATTATTATTATTATTTTTTTTATTATTTATATAGCGCCAACAAATTCCATAGCGCTGTACAATGGGTGGACTAACAGACACATAATTGAGATCAGACCACTGACGTACAGGAACAGAGGGGGTTGAGAGAGTGGGGTATAGTGACACAAAGGGTTAAAGTAGGGGAATTAAATAGTTTGTTACAGAAGGGAGTGGGGTATAGAGACACAAAGGGTTAAAGTAGGGGAATTAAATAGTTTGTTACAGAAGGGTTTATTGAGTGCGTGGTAGGTCATTTTTGACAGGTGCAGGAACAGCGTCATGGGGTGGGGGATGAGAAACCTGCTGACAGTTTAATTGATACGCTTTAATGAAGAAGTGAGTTTTCAAAGATTTTTTGAAGGAATGGAGGATGGGTGAAAGTCTGATTGACTATTCATATAACTAACACAACTTTAAGTATGAATAACATTTTTTGCCTATAATCATAATAATTACAAATCAAGTGAAAATCAAGAAAAATAACTTCACATAGATTCACGTATCAATACTGATTTTTAATTGCCTCATATGTCTAGGATCTAAATACATTTTTGGTAGTTAACACTAATTCTATACCAACCCTATACTTACACTAACTCTAACCATACACCACCCAATACCTTACCCCTTACCTTAATCCTACACTAAAACAAACCCAGCATTAACCCGTAGCCTACACTAACGCTAACTCCCTAATTCCATTTGCTGAAATTAAAGAATGATGTGTGATCACCACCTACTGGATGAGATGGTGATCTCTGATTCATGTTACAGCTCCCACATACTGTACGCACCAATCACACTGTGATCAGTGCTGGGCAGCTGGCAAGGACGACTGCTGATCACGGTAGGCAGGGGATAGGCAGAGAGACTCTCTCAGGGTCACCTTGGGTCGTCTCTTTCTCCTGTGGCAGGGTTAGAATAATGTAAATCCCTAAAACTAAGCGATTGAGCTCAGCAATCGGGATTTAAATGCCATTTAAAGAGCTATATGCAATGCCCACTTTGAGTGATTCATACTGTGATAGGGTGGGTGTGACAAGGCGAAGGGTGGTGAGTGTGAAAGTGGTGGAGTATGAGTGTGACAGGGTTGGGGGTGAGTGTGATAGGGTAAGTGTGGCATGGTTGGAAGATGTGAGTATGACAGGATTAGGAGGGATGGATGCGAGTGTGGCAGGGTGAAGGGGGTGACTTTGTGTGGGAGGGTCTCGGTGACAGTTTGTGGGGGTTAGGGAAAGTGACAGTGCTTTGGGGAGGTGTGGGTGACAGTGTGTGGGGGTTAGGGAGGGTGACAGTGCTTTGGGGAGGTGTGGGTGACAGTGTGTGGGGGTTAGGGAGGGTGACAGTGCTTTGGGGAGGTGTGGGTGACAGAATGTGGGGGAGGTGAGGGTGGCAGTGAGTGGGGGAGGTGAAAGTGTGGCAGAAAGTGGGGAAGCGAGTGGCAGTGAGTGGGGGAGGCAGGGTGAAAGGGAGTGGGGGGGAGGTGTGGGTGGTAGTGAGTGAGGGGAGGTAAGGGTGGCAGTGAGTTGGGGGAGACGAGGGTGGCAGTGAGTGGAGGGTGTTGTGGATACATGGGTACAGATCTGCAGTCAGACCATGTGGAAATTATCTTGCAAGCTCTGGCACTTGACGTCTCAGAGTGTTGCCCACTCTGATTGGCCGAGCTCACTAACAGTCCATCATGGTCTGCAGCTCTGCACCCGTGGAGGCGGAGCTGCAGACAGGAGTCACAGGACTTTGATTTCTCTCGGCAGCCTGAGCACACTTAAAGGGGGGCCCGGCTTAACCTCTGTGCCGCTGGGTCCCAGTCTACCTGTCATTTTGCAAGTCCAGGAGACATTGGCCATTTTTAACTTCTTTTAGGGAGGCCTGGGGGGCAAGTGCCTCCCGTCCCAACCCGCCGCGGTGCCCCTCTCAACATTTTTCAGTGTGCAAGAGTAGGCAATGCAAAAAAATCATAAAACGCAACCAAGTTCCGAACTCAGGGATGTCGATTTCTAGATATGTGAGGCCCGCAGGGTACTCGCACGTGTTGGCTGGGTTGCGAGATCAGCCATGGTGTTTGTGTGTGCGTGTCTGTCATGGTGTGTGTCTGTGTGTGTGTTTAGGTTACCAGACCCCTTCCATTGGCAAGGGAATAGTGTTTTTACTAACCTTTTTTTTCTTCACACCGTGCTGGTCTCCCCTCGACTGGCCCTGCCTCTATGGCTGAGATCATCAAGCTTGATGATCTCAGCCAATCCCATGTTTTGCCATAGGATTGGCTGCAAAACGCTACACCAATCAGCATCTTCTTATAGAGATGCATTGAATCAGTGTATCTCTATGGGGAATGTTCAGGAAGCAACTCTAGTGAACGTCTGAGTGACTGTCACTAGGAAGCAATTTAAACACATCCTTTTCTCTGAAAAGTCAGTGTTTACACTGAAAAGCCTGCAGGGCCAGGCTATAGCCACCAGAACCACTACATTAAGCTGTGTGTGTGTGCCTGCTAGTGAGTGAGCGTGCTTGTGTGTGTGTATGTGCTAGTGAGTGAGCTTGTGTGTTTGTGTGCATGCTAGTGAGTGAGCTTTTGTGTGTGCCTGCTAGTGTGTGTACGTGGTTATAGCTCTACAAATTGGTGCATACCGCTCATGAATTCTGTCAGATTGTTTTGGAACAGTTTGATAAAGCCTGAGGTTCTCCACTGCATATATAACCAGATCCCTCTAAAGTGAGGTTTTAGAAGCATATAATCATATCTGTTCCATTGTAGGTGTGGCATTGTGCCAATGACTAGTTCGCTGGAAAAAGCAAAGGATGGCCACAGAATATCTAGATCTTTTTTCTTACAAACGTTTCTTTGTATCCCCAGTTTGGCCCTGCCATTGGGATCTTCCAGGGACCCTGGGAGCAGGAGTTCTTCCCCTTTAGACATCAGGATTGCAGGCTGTGAGCGGGCTTTAAGCCTCCCTAGAGTCATAAAGCCCTTCGGTATGTGATGGATAGAAATTAATGTATGTAAAATGTCTGTTTACTATGTGTACTTGTGCTCATTCATTACTCAAAATGGCCGCTAGAGCACCCACTCCCATCGACCAAAACAGTTGTGTAACAAGATGGTGTCTCCATCCGGAGCTACACCTAAGATGATGATGACATCACACCTTGGAGGAAGTACATCAAGATTAAACGCATAACACCTAACCAATAAAACCTTTACTTTTACTTAACACTTATACTTAGCCAATTAAAAGTTTATGCTTAATATTTTCACACAATGCATTCTCTTGCCTTTTTGAGGGGCAGTGTCCGCCCCCAATAAACACTTCAAAGTTTTCATTTACCTGAACTTGTTGTCAGTGTGAATTCTTCAGCGTGCACGCATTATCTCACTTAAAATATTTGGACAGGGGCAGATACTTAAGCAAACACTTGGTTTGGTCTAAAACAGGTATAGGGCGAAACACGTTTTGCAGAGAAATTACAAGACCCTCACTGGAAGCAGCAGGCAGAATGGAACCAACATGAAACTGGAATAGACAGTGACTTCGATCTGTGCCTGGCTACCTCCAAGTTGTCACAAGAAAGACGAGAAAATCCCAGAGCCTTTTCAGACTGCATCCATCATTTCAGTGTGGGTACTATATACTAGCTTTTATTTTTTATTATCTTTTATCTCAATTATGGCATTTTTGCTGCAATATTTTTATGTTGATTTTTAAATACTTTTTATATCTCAATAGTTATATTCCATTTTATCTCTTCCCCTCCCTCCTTCTTATTGTGAGTTTGTTATAGATGTGAAGCACATCTTCACATCTATAACAGGAATGTTCCTGCTTTTCTAACTGGACTTTTATCAGATTATTGGTTAATACTGAACCTTACCCAAATTATGCATATGTGATTTTTTTTTCAAGATTGTGTTCAAGGTACATTTTAATGTACAGATTTCTATCCCCCCCTTTTTTTTTTTCCATTTTCACTAATTTTCCCTTATTTCACAGCCTCAATAGAATTTTCAGCTTTGATCTTTCTAAAAATAAGGGTACTTTAGGTGTTGTGAGATGCTTCAGTCTCTAAAGTCCAGAGACAGCCAATATCTCCCGAAATGGGATCATTACCCCAGAACCTAGGAAAGAAGGGCATCTTGAGGAGAAATACCCAGTTAATTCAGAATTATATGTGAATGGGATGAGTGACTAGACATGTGTGTTTTTCTGAAGCCGCTACCAGACTTTTAGACTGGAATACATTGGGCTTTGTGGAGGAATCTACTTAGGAATGGAATATGATTGGAGGTAAGCAACTGTGAACAATGCAATGGACTAGCATACTTCTCCAGAGATTATTATTATTATTTATAAAGCGCCAACAAGTTCCGTAGCGCTGTACAATGGGTGGACTAACAGACACGTATTTGTAACCAGATTAGTTGGACGCACAGGAACAGAGGGATTGAGGGCCCTGCTCAATGCGCTTACATGCTAGAGGGAGTGGGGTATAGTGACACAAAGGGTAAAGGTAGAAAAGTAGGATAGATAGGCACAGTTTGGGACAGTTTGATAAGTGCCACTCCTGGACACTTAGCATGTGTGCATTGTGATAATCATTCTGGAAATTGAGAAGGTCAAAGCCACACTTAAACCTAGCAGGGTAAAGAATGTCATGTTTCAGGCTCAGACGGGAGCTACTGCAAATTCCTCCCCTTCTTACTCCAGGTGCCACTTTTCAACATACATAGGTGGGTATTGTCTT